TGCCTTTGTACCTGCCATTGCTCTTGCCTAGAGCCTTTCCCTTCCCTCCTCCCTGCTGTCCACTTTGTAGGGCTAACTCCTATTCATCCTTCAAGTCTCAGCTGAGATGTCACTTCCTTTGGAAAGCCTTCCCTGACTCACGGAACTCAGAGGCTCCACCTCCCTGCTCTCACTGCACTCAGCACTGGCTCTGTCACTGCATAATTCAATGGTCCATCCGTGTGACTGCCTCCCCTGCTGGGCTATATCTTCTGTGAGGGCAGGTAATGCGCCCGTCCTGTCTGTAATTGCAGGCGAGTGCACACCTAGTGCAAGACTTGGAACACAATAGGTACACAGGATAGTTGTTAAATAAATGAAAAAACTGTAGGAAATAGAGCAGCCCCAAGTAAGGAGGCAGCAGCAGAGTAACAGGATAAAAGAGGGCATGTTTGATATATATTTAGGTGCTAAAATTAAGAGGTTTTGATAACGGATTAACTGACTGATCAAACATAAGCATAAGAGTGGGGAAGAGTCTAGAATTACTCCCATGTCTCTGTATTTATAACTGGGTAGGAGGTGGCGCCATTTCCCGAGAGAGAGAATACAGAAGGGAGTTTAAGGGTGGCTTAAACAACAGCAATTTATTTCTGACAGTTCTGAAGTCTAAAGGCTCCAGATCAAGGTATCAACAGGTTTGGTTTCTTCTAGGGATTCTCTCCCTGGCTTGCAGCTGGCTGTCCTCACACGGGGTGCTTTCTCTGTGCACCCACATCCCTGGAGTCTGTCCGTGTGTCCAAATTTCTTTTTTTTATAAAGGTACTAGTCAGATTAGATTAGAGCCCAGCTTAGTGGCTTCATTTTAACTTAATTGCTTTTTTGTAGGCCCTGTCTACAAATACAGTCACATTCTGAGGTACTGGGGGGTAGGACTCCAACATACAAACTTTGCAGGGGGGCACAGTTCGGCTCTTAACAGGCCTACTTTTCCTCTGGTCCTCCGTCCACACCACTGCTCATGCCACGGAGAGATCTCCAGACGAGCCGCAGACAGATCTCCAAGATTCAAACTTCAATGTGTTATGAAAACGGATGAAAGAAGGGGTTATTCTGCCTGGGATGGGGGTGAGGAAGCGGTAGGAAGATGTGAGGAATGGGTGAGAATGTGCTGGTTCTGAAAGAGAGGGATATTCTAGGCTGAGGGACCTACGAGCAAAGGCCCCCTAGTGTTAAATTTCCTGGGGGGCTGGGGGCCAGTTAGATGGGGCTGCAGTGGAGGTGGGAAGTGGGGTGGGAGGGGCTGAAGCCAGAGGGGTTGGCTGAGATCCTTGTGAAGAGCTTTCCTTTTGGCACAGACTCAGCCAGCGCTTTATCTTGATACATAAACAGGGAATTTGAAGCTGCTCCCATGGCTCAGGCAGGAAGCAATGCAATTACTCGGAAAAGGTTGGAGCCCTGGAGGATGACGTAAGGCAGAGCTATTAGGACGGGGTAGGGGCCTGAGTGGTGCATGAAAGATAAAGGGGAAAAGCCAAGGCCAAGGGGAGAGAGAAGAGACAACTGGTTCAGATCTCAGCGCCGAATCCTAGCACCCAGGTGGGGTTCGGTGGAGCGGGGCGCTGCCTCCTCAGCAAGACCGAGTCTCCTCCGCACAGTGTCCCCGAGTTGGCCAGCACCTCTCAGCAACGCGGCGGATACGGGGAGCAAGGAGCCTCTGGGAATCAGGGGCTCGGTTCACAGGGAGGCTCAGCGGGAAAGGGCCACCAGTGGGGAAGGAGGCAAAGAACTCCCAGAGGACCTGGAGAACTGGATGAGATCGACCCCCGCGGGCTGGATGGCTGGGGGTTAGTATGTCCAGTTCTGAACAGTCATTTAGGGAAAACAGTCAACTCGGGCCTGGGCTTACAGATCAAGGACCGTGACCTAGACCCAACCACACTGAGGACATAGTGGTGGCTGTCAGAGGGTCCCTTTCCTCTCTCAGGACACTGTGACAAGAGAGCAGAAGAATCAAGCACCGGCAGCGGAGAAAAGGGAGGTCACTATGCTTGGTCACTGTCCTCACTAGTGAGCTTATAACAGTGGTCAAGGCCAGAGGTTAAAAGGAAGGCAAAGAACCAAGTGAGTGATTTTATCCCAAGGCTAAGCAGGCCATCCTTTTCTTCCCATTGAGTAAGGCTTGCTCTGAGTGAAGGTGCCCAGAGTTGGCTACTGTATGACAGTCAAAGCTGTGACCATCTCCAAGGTGAATTTAATTTTTCTTTATGAAACCTCTGGTCACAAGACCATGAGGGTTTCCACTCTGGGTCTGCCCTGTGGCTCATCAATCCTAATGGCTTAGGGGAGCCAGCTATGGGCCTCTGCTACCTCTGGGCTCAAAAGAGTGAAGCTCTACGATCGTGTGGGTGCAAGTAGAGCAAAGAGACTAAGTTTATCCCTGTGACACTGGTGACTGGTGTGGGACCTGAGTCGCTGGCAGGTAGAGAGAGAAACTGCAAGACTGGACAGAAGGGCTCTGAAGCCAAGCTCTTTGGAGCACACCCCATCCACAGCTGGGCAACAACAGCCTGAGGCCTCTCATTGTGTTCTCACCAACTTTCCAGTAATTCCTTAAACTTCATTAATATCGAATGAGCATATCATTGTAAAAATAATGTAAGTGTGCTGTAGAAAACCAAGAAAAAGTTTCTCCACAACACTGCCCCCAAAGTTAATTGTGATACAATCTTCGATTTCCTCCACTGGACCTTCCCACCTTAGTTCAGTCTCAAAGTTAGGGCTTGAGGTGCTCCTGGAAGAAAGTCCACGAGAGCACCTTTAGCATAAGACGTTATTCAAAAATGACTGGCATGAGAAGCTTCCAAAGAGTATTCTCACTTGGGCAAGGAGGCTGAGTCGAATAGTATTTTTTATAAGGATTTAAGAAGAAGGACCAGCTGAAGTTGAAATAGTTTGGGGAATAGTTTGAAGATGGTTCTCAGAAATAGGAGGACTTGTAGCTAAGGATGAGGAGCCATTGTTTGCGATTTTACTGAAAATATTGGGAGGCACAGTTAAGGGCTAAGGTCATGTGGAAGAGAGGTGGAGAGGAGCATCTAATGGGGGCAGGACAGGCAAGGGCCACACTGAAAATTCTCAGTCTTTCAATGTCTCTTGAAAACCCAGGGTTTCTGACTCCTAGCCACAGTTCCTTCCACATCCCATAGATGCCACAACCTTCCCTACTTTGGTAGGTGATTAAGAAAGAATGATGAGTGTCCTGGACCCACCCATGGAAGGAGAGGTTGAGATAAGTAAAGGCCTGGGCAGCAAAGGCAAAAAGTGGAAGATTTTGTCCTAAGGATGTGCTTTATCTTCAACAGCACTGGGGCCTGCAGGAATTGAGTTCTATGTATTGCTGGCCTGCAGCTACAAGTGAAAGGAATTCTGCCACAGGGACTGAGAAAAGTCAAGGGCTTCCTTATAGGAGTTACATTTCCTGATGCTTTAGCTCTGGAAGCATCACTGTATCAATAATTGTTGTGCATCTTAATAGAACTCTTCTGCTCTAGAGCCTCAAATTATTTAACTATCAGCCTGGGTGGCCAGGTCTGCAGCCCATTGTACCTCTCTCCCCAAGGGGCAAACAGTCTTGTGCATATCTGAGCTC